GCGTGTATCTCTTTGTCGACTACTAACGCACGCAGAAAGTGCAAGCGTTTTGCCCATGGTGAGTCTTGTCCAGTTTCTACATTTCTAATAGCCACTATCGAAAAGTTTTTCAGTGACTGCAATAACATCTGTACCGCAAAATGCACTATAGGACGATCTTTCCGGTTATCACCAATGACTAATCTATGAAACATAATTGATAATCCAGCACCTCGTCGTGTTAAATGTAATGATTTTCCCGTATCTTCCTCTAACAAACACATTAGATATGTTTTTGGTAGCTCGGAGTATTCTTTCTTGTCATACAAATATCTAAAACAATTTTTTATTAAAAAATAATTTTTAAGTTATATTAATTGTTATAGAAAATAACTTGATTTAATTGTGATTATAAGTTATTTCTACTTCGAGTTTCGAAAATAATTATACTAACAATACACTCATTATATAACTTTAATATATTATCAGTACATTAATATTTCTAGATTGTTCTACTTATTATACATTTTATTTAGTATACATCGTATTGAGTAAAATTTTATTAAAATATAATTACTTGGACAAATGTGCAATTGCTACACCAGCAGATTCCACAACGCCTTTATGTCGACATTTCAATAGTATTGTAACAATAATATCCATAGAACATTGCACTTGTGCACTAGAATGCATCAATATTCCGATTTCACTAACAATTTCACATGATATCTACACAAAAGTTAAATTTGTTTAATTAAATTATATCTTATATTTATTTTATTGTATTAAACTAATAATGACAAAATTGTATATTATACTTTTAAGGACATCCAGATACACGAAATAAGCACTTGATGCGCCGGCGATAATTGCAAGTCATCATAATCAAAATCCTCTATTTCACTGGTTTTTATCTTTTCATCAATAGCCAATCCCATTTCCGCAAACGAAGACGAATAAACTAAACACAAAATCATTTTACATAAATTAAATTAATTTTTATTATAATAAAAATATAATAACATCAATAAAATTATCAATTTTAATCAGATAATCTTATTAGTCAACAATTTCTTCTGTAATTATTGTTAATAATTATAAATATATTATCACTGATAGATTATTAATAATCTAATAAATTTAATAGATATATTTTAATAATCAACTCAACATTAATACCTGTATTTGATACTTTTGTCGAAAACATAGATAAAAAGAAATTAACAGCATCTTTCAAAAGATCGAGTATTTTTTCCGTAAATTGTGATGATAAAATGTAATTTTCTGGACCATTGCGAAAAGCAACTGTCAATAAAGCAGTCAATACACCATAAAATGGTTTATTCTGAACAATGGCTTTCAAAATGTCGTTTTTCATCTGTGCTAATTGACATTTAGCTTTGTTCAATAGAAATTCTGAATAATTTGAGTAAGCGAGAATATTGTCGTGCTTGTTGTCAGAAAATATTATAATTTCATCTTTATGAATCTCGCTCAAAGACAACCAATGTGCCATTATCTTTATGAGAATTGCTCCGCTTTCAATTTTGTAAAATTTGGACGAATTGCAATGTTCCCACGCGCACTTGTAGAGTATCTAAAATTAGAATTTTTCTAATATAACTTATTATACATTCATTAAAAAGAAATTCTTTATAAAAATACAGAGATTATAATCTTTGCTCAATTTTAAATCGACTTTTTTCTGAATAAAAATATAATGTTAATGGATTTCAATTTATAAAAAAAAAGTTGTAATAAGTCTTTACATATCAACTCTGTTAGATAAAGATAAATGACGACTTCTTATTCTAAATTAAATTTTATTCAAATATTATCATAAAAAGACTTAAAATTTAATAATTATCAAGATTCAAAATATTAGAAAAGTATTAATTATGAAAAAATTTAATGATACTTTTGATATAAAAAGATTGTGCTGGACAAAGAACTTTTTAATTTGTTCAGCCTTCTTCCCTTAATTTTCGTAGATATATATATATAT